CTCATGTTCTCTCCAGTCTCCACAAGCCGCTCCTGGGGCCGGATGCCCGGGTTTACCCACGGGAAGACAAAGACACCAAGAGGACTTGCCACAGAGGAGCAAGGTCACACCGGCCCCCAGTGAGGAGCCCACACTCACGCTCCACACAGACATCCAAGCAGGCTCCAGTTGGGTGCTCCTCGTCCTCACCAGGCTCTGTCCCCAACCACAGGCACATCTGCCCAGAGTGAGTCAAAGTCACAGCACCTGGACTGACTTTCAAATAAATTGCACAAGCTAGAATTGCAGTCTACAGGAATCCAGTGCACGGAAACCTAAACTTACCCACATAAGGGAGAAAAGCTCCTGTTCAGTCAGAAGCAAGGAATGGCATCATTCTTCAGCAAAGCGGAAGAAAAATTTCACTCACCCACCTCCCTGACTGCACCCAGATAGGAGGGCTGCACCCTGTTTCAGAGCGAAAGGTCTGAACAGGTGACCGAGACCAGAGCTTCTCAAACTGCACCAAGCATCAGGCCAGCTGAATAAAATGCAGGAGGTGATTTGGCGGGTCTGGGGAGGCTCAAGGTTCTTCAGCCAACAACTCTCAGTTGATGAGGACATCGCTGGTCCTCAGAGCCCACCCTTGAGTAGCAATGGCTTAGAGCTGAGCTGCCCCATGCAATGGCCACCAGCAACTGCAGCTAGGGAGTCCCTGAAATACAGCTAACCAGAATCAAAATGTGCTGTGAGCATAAAGTACACACACGGTTTCAAAGACTCGGGATAAAACAAAGAATAATAAAATGGTTCATTGATTATTTTCATATTGAACATACGGTGAGATGATGTCGTAGACATATTGGGTTCAATAAACTATATTATCTAAATTAATTTCACTGTCTGCATTTACTTTGTTTAAAGTGACTACAAGAAAATTATACATTCCCTCTTTGCAGATGATCTGATTGTATATCTGGAATATACCAGAGATTCTACTACTAAACTCTTAGAAGTGATCAAGCAATACAGCAGCATCTCAGGTTATAAAATCAACACTCATAAATCAGTAGCCTTTATATATA